CAAATATAGCCATTTTGTTCCAACACTTCTGGTGTCTTATCAAGTGATGGTATTGAATGTAGAACCATTCTTTTTTTTTTCTTGTCAGAGGTGCCTTCACATTTTTGATGTTTTCCGATGTAGATAATTATACAGACGGTTTCGTTTCGGTCCTCGTCTTTTATTCCTCCTCATCTATAATTCAGTGAAGAAAATCCTTACTTTAGTCTGAGGTCCCACTAGAGCAATGATTCTCAACCTGGGCACTTCAAACCACAAGTGGGCCAGATAAATCTTTAAAATGGGCCTGGATTTGACCCAAACAAAATAGTGGGCGTTAAACTATCCTTTTTCCACTGGCTTAAATTCAAAACAAAACAAAAAAAAAATAAATAAATAATTTAGAAATCATTTAAAAACAATTTTCAATGTTTACTTTTTTTGTAATAAATCATATTTTCAATTTGATTTGAAATATTATTTTGCTTTATTGTATGATGTTAGAAAGACTCATATATATATTGTTGAGGGGTCCACCCCTTTTTATACAAATGGACTCACCCAGTGTATACTTATACTACTGCCAGTGAATACCCGAGGAACAGAGTCGTGTCGAGTCCAGAGTAAAAGGCTGTAGGTAACCGGAAGAGTGAGGGGGTGAGGTAACAGCGTTGTAGGGATCACAGTGAACGAGCATGTAGACTCTGTAAGAAGTCATACAGCGACACTTCAATACCAAAGACTGTATATATATATATATTGCTACTAACCCGTATTCCTGGAACTACTAACCTGCTTTACTAGTTTGTATTATTATGTTAATACATTATTTTCATATATTCATTGCTGGCGTTTGTTGTTTATTTACCGGATTTACCGGAATTTCAACAATATGGAATATATATATAATATATATATATATATATATATATATATATATATATATGTGTGTGTGTGTGTGTGTGTGTGTGTGTATGTGGTGTGTGTGTGTGTGTGTGTGTGTGTGTGTTGTGGATTCAGGTTTGAAATCTGGTACCAATAAACAACAAACGCCAGGAATAAACAATAATATATACACACACACACACACACACACACATATATATATATATATATATATATATATATATGTGTGTGTGTGTGTGTGTGTGTATATATATATATATATATATATGTGTGTGTGTGTGTGGGTGGGTGTGTGTGTGTGTGTATACATTTCTAATATAGGAGGCACAGTGGACTAGTGGGTAACGCATCGGTCTAGTCGAATCCGTTACATTCACTTACGTGCTAATATCCTTGGGAAAGGTATTAATCCTCTTCTTCCTACAGCTAACATCCAGGTAAATAGCAGGATAGACTAGGCTCCATAGCCTTGGATGGCAACTGGTCTAGGAGAAGGACAACTCAGAATTAAAAACTTGTAGTGCACCAGATCTCTGTATTCGGCCCTTCAAAAAGTGTGGATCGTTCTGCACAAAGCCTTCACCACTACAATCAAATCTCATGTGCTGGTGTCGGGCTTTCGGTTCCTAGGAACTGAGTCACAGACCCTCATACATCGAAAACGACGAGAGATTCCACCAAATATTTCTAAAAATAATTGGATTTATTTATAATCTGACATATTATATGATATTAGGATCAGACCTACTAAAAACAACAGATCCTTCCTGAACAGTACTTTCTTCGGGCGTACCCAAGGTAAGTTGTCTCTGTTTTGGCACTGAAAAAACATTCTACGAGGAATTAAATTACTGCTACTCTCATAAAACACAGTATCGAAAACGACGCAAATATACTTCTCCATTATATTCGACTAAATATGAGCAGAAGTAGGATTGCTACTCATATATAAAAGATACGGGCTTTATCTTCACAAGAGTCAGATTTGATTGAAAAATGAAGTATTGCTGATATATCTGACCTCGAAGCTGCTTTATCCTCACTTGACAGTATTTATGCGACATTCTGGGTGATAACTTCATCTTCCATGACGCAGTCCACGAACGAAATATAACGTTGCATGTCTTTCGCTATTTCCATAGTAAATGTTCAGAAGCGTCGCTTTCTTTATTATCCCCAGTTCAGACCTTTACGGCTAAGAACCGCCTTGTTACGTCCACAGGATTGAATCATCCATCATCTCCTTTGGTAAGAAGGAATTTCCACTCAGGCAGCTTCTTCACCAAAATCGCTTCCCCAGTGGAACTTACGCCCGCGTACACCGCTTCTCCGAGCAGAACAATCTTAACTTCTTTAAGCCGATTGTCAATCGTTATCTAGCCTCTATTTCCTCACAATATGAACTTATTTTCTTCCTCTTACGTCCATATGATTCAACTTTTTCACAAAACTTCTACTTTAAACAAAACACTTGATAAACATTAGAAACAATAACATTCCCATTCTCTCACAAAGTTTGGGATATATATGTTCTTTGAATCATTTGTTTCTCACACTTTTGAAAGTCAAATTTGATGTTGTTCTTTATTCATCTATTTTACACTTAGATTCACACTGTGCAATGCCTGGGGGCCACTCGAAGTAGAGGGTTCCGTTAACAGGCAATTTGTGCGTATAAGAGGGAAAGATAACGGTTAACCCAAGACTTGAACAAGATTCTACTGATCGGGGAAACAAACTCTTGGGAGTCGGTTCCACGGAGCGATAGAACAGCGAGTTGTTAGCCACATACCGCCTGCAAGACAGAGGTTGGAGGGTGGAGAATAATTCAACACCCACAAGGTCTCGGAGACGCTTATGGACATTATCAAGGCTGGAGTGTGAGGTCTGGGCAGCTCGCACCCAAATATGTGAACAGTACTATATTGTAAGCCTAATCTGACTCTTGTAAAGGTAGACGTCAATTCAAAATCCAACTTTTCCGCGTACTTATTGAGCCAATCTTACTCTATGGCTCTGAAACTTGGACTCTCTCAGCAAAACAACAGCGTCGTTTAGATGGATGTTATGCACGTCTTTTAAGAAGAGTGCTTAATCTCTCATGGCGAAACTGCCCAACTCTAGAAATGATATATGGAGACTTGCCGAGAGTATCAACTTTAGTTTGCAAAAGACGTGTCCAGTTCGCCGGGCATTGTGCACGTGCCACAGATGAACTTGTGTCATCATTTGTACTCTGGAGGCACCCATCATCTGACAATCGATCACGCAAGTTAACCTTTCCAGATAGGATAAAACGTGACACATTGATCCCTAAGGAAGATCTCTTAGGTGCTATAACAGATAAGGAATACTGGAGAGGTGTAGTGAGTTCAATCTCGGCTGAGGCCGCAAGATGATGATGATGAAAGGTAGACGATAAGAGGAGAGGTCAGGTAATTACTGTAGCGGTACAGGGGGGCGATCATTTTACCTGCATCTTTGCGCATGATTAATTCGTTTTCCACCGATTATGAACCTGAGGCAGGTTATTTACAACCAGAAAATACCTTTAGATTGTAAGAATTTATTGTTGTTGTTTTGGGGAGCTAAAAACGATTTAATGATACAAGTCTTACTAAACTCAAAGCTGAGTGGGGAAAAGGGGGATTCATATCTTTGCTACGGGTATTTGCGCGTATGTGATTATAACAAATTCAACTGGAATTAGATCCCGGATCTGCGACAAACAATTCCGAGCCATTATCTATTCCACCATCTTGAAATCCAAGCTTACGGCACCTGATATTCCCAAGCAGTCATCGATCAAGTTACTGACCAGGTTCGGCGTAACTTAACTTATGAGACGGGAAACAAGCGAAAAGGAGGGGGGAGAGTGTGAGAAAGATAAGCTGGAAGAAACAGAGAGAGTGAGAGAGAGAGTAATAAAGAGAAAGAGAACGATAGAGGGATCTTAGGGGAATCGGTGTCTCAACCTAGTGTGGCTTGATGTTGGAAATTTGTTGGTTATATCACGGCTTCAAATCGTAAGTTGCTGACGTTAACAACATTGCTGGCTTTGTCAGCAACTATGAAGTGAAATTTCATATTTGCTTTTATTTATTTTTTATTTATTTTTTTGCAAATACGAATCCATCGTTGTCATTTTGTGTCTTCGCGAGAAATTAACCAAGTTTTAATCTTTCTTAATCTAATTTCTCTTTCATTAGATTAAATCTACATCATCAAGAACCAGTTTTTTGCTCGGCACGACGCACGGTTTTATTCTCAATGTGGCTCCATGCTTTAAGTATCTGGTAGGTCTCAAGTTTGCGCTAGATCTCAAATGGAACTCGCATATCTTACGAAGGCAAAATTTTTCTTCTGTGTGGGGAACTGGATACCGGCAAGAGGGAGGACTCAACTTAGCTTCAAGGACATCTTCAAAAGGAGCATGAAGGCGATGGAGATGGACAACGAAAGATGCGTAGAAGTTGTCAACGATCGCTCTAGCTGGTGACGCGATTTACACCAAGGGCTGGAGCGAAGATAACAGAAACGAAGGCTTACCGCCTGGGGAGAAGCGTGCTCGACGGAAAGAAATCAATAAGGTGACATCGAAGAAGATCGTTTTCACCTGCATTCATTGCGATCAAGACAATGGGCCTGTACATATATAGCACATGCTGCACCGACATCAGCAGCTGAGGGCGTCACTCGTCTTTGGGCGCAGATCCATGGTCTCTCGAAACCAACGAATGGCCGACACAAACACCTAAATTTTACTACAGAACTCAAGTGGACGACGCATATCTTACGAAGGCAAACGTTCTTTTGTTCTTGTTGCTTCACTGCTAATATTTTCTGAGATCAAAGAAAACACACTCTTCCGTAATGTTCACTTTCTGCTTTTTATTAATGCTAATAGTAGCCGTTTTCTTGATCTTCATTGTCTCTTGATCTTTGCATCAGGTGAACATTATTATTAAAAAAAAACAAATCATTATGGTAATATATTCAATTCTTCTAATTTGAAATTGTAAAAGCATTTTCGAAATCATTTAATTAGTATTAAAGAATTTTAAATACATTCAGAAGACTTTTTTGCAGTATGGCTCTATTAAAATATTGAGCAGTTACTTTGAAACTTCTGCAGGCCTTGGGGTAAGGGAAGTGGTAACAACGGTGAAGGCGTAATGGGAGAATGGAATAAAAGAACAAGCAGAGAGAGAGAGAGAGAGATGGAAGCAAAAGGGAGATAAATTAAAAGATATAGAGAGATAGGGAAAGAGAGAGAAAGAAGCTGGAAGAAAAAGAAAGAGAGTAAGAAAAAGAAAGCGAGAGAAAGAGTGAGAGAGAAGGGATAAGAAAAGTGGAAGAAAAAAGAAAGAGATAGTAAGAGACGGAAAGCAAGTGAAAAGGAGGGGAGAGATTGTGAGTAAGATAAGCTGGAAAAAACAGAGAGAGAGAGAGAGTGAGAGAGAGTAATAAAGAGAAAGAGGACGGGAGAGGGAAAGAGAAGCTGGACGAAAAAGGAAGAGATAGTAATAAAGAGAAAGAGAGAGAGAAAGAAGCTGGAAGAAAAAGAGGGCGAAAGAGAGAGAGAGAGAAGATGGGAAAAAAGAAAGGGATAGTAATAAATAGAAAGAGAGGGGGGAAGCTGAAAGAAAAAGAAAGAAATAATAAGAAATAAAAATAGGGTGAAAGAGAGAGAGAAAAAGAAAGAGATAGTAATAAAGAGAAAGAGAGAGAGAGAGAGTAAGAAGCTGAAAGAAAAAGAAAGAGATAATAATTAATAGACAGAGAGGGAGAGAGAGTAAGAAGCTGGAAGAAAAAAGAAAGAGATTGTAAGAAATAGAAAGAGAGGGCGAAAGAGAGAGAGAGAAGATGGAAAAAAGAAAGGGATACTAATAAATAGAATTAGAGAGGGGAATTGGAAGAAAAAGAAAGAGATATTATTACATAGAAAGAGAATGAGAGAGAGAGAGAGACAGACAGACAGAGAGAGAGAGAGAGAGAAGCTGAAAGGAAAAGAAAGTGATGGTAAGAAATAGAAATTGATCCAAAGAGCAAAAGAGATAGATAGAGAGAGACATACAGACAGACAGGGACAGAGACAGAGACAGAGAGATGGAGAGAGGGATAGAGAGAAGCTGGGGGAAAAAGACAGAGATAGTAAGAAATTGAAAGAGAGCGAGAGAGAGAGAGAGAGAGAGAGTGAGTGAGTGAGTGAGTGAGTGAGTGAGTGAAAATGCAAGCGAATTCTGCAAAAAAAAGACATTTCTCTTGACGACGTGAAATGTGTATTCTCCCAATAGTTTGTGATATTCAGTCCGAATAAAGCTTGAGAGGAAATAATATAAATAAATAAAAAAAAAGGACTTTCTCACCAACTGAAAATAAATGAGAAAAAAGACAATTAAAAACACATTAATAATCGTCGTAAAAATTGCAAGCGTTTTTTCATGCAATTTGCGTTTTCATTCCCACGGAAATGTAAAAACAAAGTGTAAAGCTTCTCGGCAGCGTTACAGAAACCAGAGTAGGTGAAATCGAAAGAATTTTCAGACAAGGTATTCCAGGAAAGTAAGAAAAAAGGACTAACTACTAGAAGACTAGATACATTACGCTCATCAAAAGAGTCAGGCCATTCTGTGTCTTACACAGTGAGGACGTTATATTCGATCAAGAGAGGCTCTTGACGACAAACAAGCTTCCAAGACCATAGCATTAGACATCTCGAAGATCTTTGACAAGGTGCAGTCCAATGGTTTCCTAAGCAAACTCTCCTGCTATGGAATCACTAGAGGAGTCTTCTCGATCGTTAAATCCTTTCGAACAGGTAATTCCCTAAAGGAAGTTATTAATCTCCTGTTCTCCGGGGCCCTAGCGGTTAACGCAGGCGTCGTCCAGGGTCACTGCTCGGAACAATCGTCTTTACATAAATGATTTGCCTAAGAATATACTCAGATCATTTGTAAACCTCTATACCGATAATACGACAATGGCGAGCGCACTTCTAAAACTCTTAGTGGTCAGAGATTGGTAACTGATTACTCTTTCGATCTAACATAAACTACCCAGTGGGATAAAAAATCAGGAAGATTCTATTGGTCAGCGTGAGAGCCAACAGCTGACTGACATGAATGTTAACTAGCATGCTAGCATGCAAAAAAAATCGATAGCTGCATTCGTCACAAGTGGGAAAAATTTAAATCTGCATGGCACTTTACTCCAATTGGCTCATTTGCTTGCTTAAAGTCAACGTTGATTCTGATTCCGCAGAACTGGGTTGGGTGTGAAAAAGTATTTGTTGTTAACATTTTTTTTCATTCGGTTTTTCCAGTTACGAGTCCTTTTTTAAGCTGATCGTTTTGTGTTCATTTTGTTTAGTTCTTTTTTCGTAATAGATTTAATGTTTAGTATAGAGCTTAGAACAAATTCGCAGTGTGAGATAGGCAAGAAGTAAGGCATGTAGCAACATCAGCACGGAATAGGGCACTCCTTTAAAGGCAAGGAAGGGCAAAAATATTTTAAGTCAAGTGATAGCGATTGCTGTATGTGTCGTACGATTTTTGAATCAAGCACGGGCAACGCCGGGCCGTGCTGCTAATTCCAAAATATAACTATGACATAAACCATACATGTTACCGCCTCTAGTAATTAAGTCTACGCAAAAATATGTATGCATAAAAGCTGAGTATCATTTACCATGTATTCAATTGTGAAAGCAGAATAACATTGTATTTTTAATACTGAAAAGCTCCCAAGGAAATTAAATTTTAGCATTAAATGGAAATTAAATGTTGGCATTAAATGGCATTAAAGGTGTTGATATGCCGTTAAAGAAATCAGCCAACGTTTTCTTCTTTTAATCGCCTAGCTTCTGAACAAAATGAAATATATTTCATTCTTTAAATATATTTATGGACAAAATATTTATCCATCTTTTTTGGTCGTAGTTTAAGGCGTGTAAAAAGACCAGTCATAAAAAGAAAAGAAACCTTTAATTTGGTTACGGATATTTCTCCAACACATTTGCCGTGTGTGGGCTTGAATTCGGGTTTATCATCTCCAAACAATCTACTTCCGACCCTTCTCCATACCACCACCACTACTGAAGTGGCGTACTCCACCCTTGCTTCTATTTCGGGGGTAAGTTACTCGGAGAACGCACAAAGCATAACTAATGTATTTGCTTTAAGACAGATCTAAAAGAACGTCAATGAGAATGCAACGATAACAAGCAAAGAGAACTTTGTAAATCCGAGAGATCTTTATCTCCTTACATTTATTTATTTATTTTTAAAGATACTTTCTATTCTGATGCGGTAGGAATTGTGGGCCGTTCGTTTGACAAGGGGGAGAACAAGATACACCCACATGTGGCAGAATATTACCGGCGATACAAATTAGACCACACGGATGACATAGACACCAGCAGCCGTATATTTAATAGCAAGACGCTAGACATTTAACCGAACGGGAAACGACATTCAAGCTGGACAACCCTACACTTAAAGTATCGCCAATGATCTGATACGAACGCTGAGGGCTTTTTTTAAGTCAATGAAAAGACAAAAGTTGATAGTTTAATGTGAAACAAAGGTGATTATTATTTCATTTCCAGAAATTAATTTACCAATGGAGAAAGATAAGAATCTTTATACCTTTGTTTTTGTGTATTTTATTGTTATTACTGTTGGTTTTGGTTTCTTTTTACTTCTTGTTTGCAATCGGAGTAATCTCCCTTACCGCCTAAACAGAAAAAAAAAAAAACACTTTACAGGTCTTGAAAAGTTTCCTTATCTATTTATTCCCACATTGACTCGATAATGAATAAGCAAAATGTCCGCTTAAGCCTGGCCACATTAATACATAAATTCACCGTATATTATGGCCTATCTTCTTTTATGTGGTGCGTACCTTCAGGATGTAGGCGATCATGGCTCTCCACTTCCCCCTATTTCTTATAGCTCTGAATATGTTTTGTTCTTTTGTTACTTCTCACAAAGCCTGTTCCGTCATCCACTTGCTTAGACCGCTAGGTATATCGTGCGTTGCTTTCACTATTTGCCTTGTGAGTATCAGATTTTCCGTGTCCCCTTTTCTCATTACGTGTCCCAGAAATTTCAGCTGCCTCTTCCTGATGTTAAGTATAAGCTTCCTTCTTGTTTGCATCATCTCAAAAACGTCATCGTTGCTCGGTCCGTGGTATCCTTAGCATCCTTCTGTAGAACCATACATCCGTTGTCTGGAGTCTCTTCTTCATCTATGAGGAGACCGTCCAACATCCGCTGCCATAAAAAAGGACTGATATCACGTAGCAGTTCAGTACTCTTTGTTGCCAACGAAATCCACCTGCCTCTTAATCCTCTGCCTAGCTTTTGGAATGCGTCTTTGGCAAACCCAATACGTCTTCGGATCTCAGCGTCGCACTTACCGTCCTCTGTCAGAACACTTTCCAGATACTTAAATTACCGCACCTACTTTATCTGACTGTCTCCGACCTTTAAATCACATTTTGGGCTCTTCTTTTTATTGATCACCATGCATTCTGTCTTCTTGTAGTTTATGCTTAGTCCCTTCTCGCTCTCCTTCGCTACCTTCTGTAGGGATTTTTGCAATTTCCTTTCCGTGTCTGCTATCAGTACTGAATCATCGGCGTATCTTACATTGATATGATTTTGACCGCAATGATGTGTCCCTGTAGGATTTCCACTTCTCGTTGTATAGGTTGAATAAGTCCGGTGAGAAGACACATACTTGTCTTACACCTCTTTCTATTTTTGTATATCTGCTGAACACATTCTCTATGCACATGCAGGTCGTTTGCTGCCAGTATAAGTTCATGATTAATCTAATGTCTTTCCTAAATATATCAAGGTTGACGAGCAGTTCCAACAGGTCTTTGTGGCGTACTTTGTCGAACAAGTTTGCGAAATCTATAAAATGTAGGTGCACGTCGTTCCGCAATTGTATTACTCTTTCTGATAACATTCTGAACATGAATATCTCGTTCCTTGTTCCGATGTCTTTAAGGAACCCGCATTGTTATTGTCCTATCTCTGGCCTGATTAATCTGCACGTTCTATTCATCAGAATACGAAGGATGAGTTTTGTTATGTGGCTCATTTAGGCTGATTTTTCAGTTCACATTCGTTTGCGCCTGGTTTCTTAGACAGTGCTATGAAAATCGATCTGTTGAGATCTTCCGGAATATTCCCATTGGTGTAGAATTCTTTTTTATTTCTGTGATCTTGTCATTTAAGTCTATCAATATTTCTGTTACAGTTCTGTCTGGCTCTGCCGCTTTTTTTCTGTTCAGTTTCACCAGTGCAGCTGCTACTTCGTTTTTTTAGAATCTCAGGTCTTTCGGTAGTTATATGTGTTGCTGATTGTTCTCTTTCGTCGGAGCAGAGTTCTCCAATATATTCATTTCAGCGTTGTAGAATGTTTCCTTTTCTAATATAAGTATTCCCTCGTTTGATTTTATGCAGCCTGTTGAAGAGCATGTTTTCTGCCCTGTTAGTTGCCTGTTTATGCATATCTCCTTTGTTGGTGGTACTCAATCTCTCTATTTCTGGACATTTTTTGTTTATCCATTCTTCTTTAGCCTGTCTGCATTTGGTCCTTATTTTGTTGTATAGTTTTCTGTATTCCATTTCATATCTTGGCAGAGTTTTCTGTCACTTTTGCATCATGTCGAAAACCTCATCAGTCATCGATTCGTTTTTTTCTTCTTCATCCATTTTTCTTTGAGATGATATCGTTTGCTGATGCCACTAAAGCATCTCTTAGTAAGTCCCATTTGGAGTTGCCATTTCCATTATGTTCCTCGTATCTTCTTTTCACGCTTTGTGTATATATTTTTATTTCAGGTAAGGGACGCTCAGGTGTTTGTTGTATTGCAATTAGGGTGCTGCGTTAGGCTTCTATAAGACGCGATTTAAGAATTATTTTTACAATGATGTTCATTCACCCTGTCCAAGACTCAATATCCACACGAGGTTACAGAGTAAAAGGCACGACCCTAAGGAAAGTGATGATGCTGCCACGACGCAACGGGCCACCGGAAATGAAAGAGAAAGAAAAGACGTAGAATGAAATCAATTCTAAACAGGAAACAAGAGATGTCGATTCCTATTTTACCCGATTATTACAGATGACAACAAGGATAGTAATGAATTATTAATATGATTGTTAATGAACGATTCCGTTCGCTACCGTTTTGAATACTGTTATTTTTGTGATCTTTAAAAGTTTTTAATCAATTCAGGC